GCTAAAACTCCTGCTGTTCTGATGAAGAGCTAAACATCCAATAGTGAGGCTGATGAGAGAATAGGTTGGGTGGTAGGCAGAGAGTATAAATAGCAGAAGAAATCTGGAAGAAGGTAGTTACAGTGCAACAATTACAAGTGGAAACAGGGGGCCAGCCAGTCACCTATCTACTCTGCCATCCACAGAGTGAGAATGAAAGTAAGATAAAAGATGTAATAGAAAGATAAAATCCTAGAGACTACTAGTAGGTGAGGAAATTTATGTTAAGAAAAGCTGTATAGGAACAACATGAGCTAATACTCTGCATTTGTAAGAAAGAATTAATTTTTGTATATAATTCATCTGGGAACTGGGTAGCAGATTCCATCAAAAGGCAAAGGAGCAAAAAGACAAAAGATTAAAAAGAGCAAAAACAACACAGGGCTATCTGTAATTCCAAGTGAAGGTGAGAATGGACTTTAAAAGATATATAAAGAATTTTGTTTAAATTTTGAAGCATAATGCATCTAATCCTTAGGGCGCTTTTTTGAAAAATGGCCTTTTTTAGATGTTAATTCTACTGATCCATAAGCATGGGAGGTCTTTTCTTTTTCTTGTGTCTCCTTCAATTGCTTCCTCAAAGACATGAAGTTTTTATTGTTCAACTTTTCCACTTGTTTGGTGAGGTACACCAAGATAGTATACATTATTCGAGGCTATTTTGAAAGTTATTATTCTCTGATTTCTTTCCCAATCAGTCTCTCATTTGTACATGGGAGTACTACTGATTCTTGTGAGTCAAATTTTTATTATAATATTATTACTGAAAATAGCCTTGATGAGTTGATATCCATGCAACTTATCCATGGACAACCCTATCTCAGTTACCATGGATACATTGATCCTAATCCCATGGGGCAATAACAAGGATGGCTTGGGAAAGAGGCTGAATCTACACAGAATATGACATCCTATCTTCTTGATTGCTGAAGTCCAGCTCTGCTGAAGTCACATTTTGATGCACATTTATATGGGACAAAGGGAACTCCACATTCTTTGCCTCTTTGCAGATCTGTCCAAATATTTCTTCATCAAATATTTTTCATTCCTATTTTCTTTATTTTTCCTTTATTTATTCTTCACTCATGCAATATATCCTGATCACTGCTCCTTCCTTTGCAGATATCTTACTTGTATAATAAAGAAAATTTGTAGAAAGAAAAGTTACTCAAGAACAGGCAAAAGAGTCAGAGACACAATGCACTCCCAGAGTTAGGAGTCCCACAAACCACCGAAATTAACAACTACAGCTTGCATATATAAAACTTGGTACAAACCTTTGCAGGGTCTGTGTTTGCCTCTTCAGTCTCTGAGCTCCTACATGTCCTGCTTAGTTGAGCTTTGGGCTGTGTTCTCCTGGTATCCTTATCCGTTCTGCCTGCTATCATCTTTCCCTTCCCCTCTGCCCAAGGGTTCCTTAAACAATGTTTAATATTTGACAGGAAATCTCAGTATCTACTCTCATCAAGTGCCTGAGAAACCTATGGGTATTGGGATATGCACCAATCTCTGAGTATAACAGAATTTCCTTGGGTATCATTTCATTGACTTTTTGGTCAAAAAGTCTGTTTGGTTCCACCTTATATCTCTGTACCTTCCATTTTCTGGTTCATCAACATCCAGGCAGTGTTGGACATCAGTTTGGGCTTCAAGTCAGACCAGTCATTGATTTGTGACTGCCACCACCTCTGAGCTACAATTGCCCCAGAATATTTTGTAGACAGGACAGATTGCAGGTTCAAAATTTGTGACTCATGCTTGTGGATTCCTGGGAATTTCCCTAGAGCCAGGTTTCTGAATAACCCAACAAATGTTCTCTCCATCACAGTCTCTCTTTCCTTGCTCAGTTCCCGTGCAGCCTCCCCAAAATGGACCATCCCAGACCCTGGTGCTCTTCTCCCAGCTCTCCTTCTCCCCACTGCATTCTAATAACAACCTCTTCCTTCACCCTCCACCGGTGTTCCAAATGTACACAGGAGACCTTGACTGTTTCCATTTTGGGGTGGGAGAATCCAGGCATTGATCTATTGGGGCCCTTGTTGTTTCCTAGACTCTATGAAGTTGTAAAGTATAGGCTGATATCCTCTGCTTTATGTCCAATATCTACTTATGTGTGAGTACATGGGATACAGAGCCAAACAGAGAATTCTGAACAGTACACTCTCTAGTGGCCAAAAGGCAAAGGAGGAACTATTCCATATCCTTAGCGATCAGGGAAATGAAAATCAAACCTCCTCTAAGATGTCATCTTATACTGGTCAGAATGGATTAGGTCAAACCATTATTGAAAATTTATGCTGGAGAGGATATGCTGTAAAGGGAACACTGCTCCTTTGCTGGTGGGAGTTCAAACATGTAAGCCACTGTGGAAATCTGGGTGGCCATTTGGCAGAATGGTGGGAATCTATCTAAGACAAGGCATAGCATAACAACTCTTGGGCATATACCCAAGAGATACAAAACCATAACACATGGACATCAACTATATTCATAGAATGATAATTTCTAATGGGCAGAACCTTAAATCAACCTAGCTGGCACTCCCGTGAAAACTGGATAAGGAAAAGATCATACATTTAAACTGTGGGATACCACTCAGGGGGGGGAACAATGACATCATGAATTTGCAGTCAAATGGATGGATATAGAAGAAAAGAATCCTGAGTGGGGTACCCGAAACACAGAAAAACCACCATGGCATATTTTGTAATTTTAATGGGTGATTTCTCTCCTCCCCAAATTTTGAGCTCCCATGCTTACTCTGCAGGACCTTTAAAACAAGAGAGTTTCCTCTTGTATATCAGAATATGTTCAATAGGTACTGAAGGAAAGGTGATGTGATGGCTCCTCTTCAAACGTGATCTGTAAAATGCTCCTCATACCTGTCATCTCTCTCCAGTTCATGATGTCTGGAGGGACTCACTAAACCAGGAGGAAAGGAAACTACCTTCAGTGAGACAATCCACTCAGTGGTTTCCAGCCTAGGTCTCCTGAAAGTCTGGCCCTGATGCTTCTCCCACCCCCCATAAATGATAAATCAATCAACTGAATATAAGCCCTGAAAAGTTGCTTACTCAGTAAAGCCCCTATTTCAGGTGGATAACTAGTAACACCTGTGGCTATTCTCTGTGGCAGGTTTCCCTTACCTCAAGAGTGTCAATTGAAAGGAAGCTAGGCTATCACTGCAAGGCCCCTCATTTGTCAGAAAAGTGCTCTAACTTGTGGTCCTGAGCTTGCTTCTGGAGAGTTGGGGCAGCCTCTCCTGGGGTAACTGGGAGCTACAGAGGCAGAAAGCAGCAACTCTTTTCACAGGCTAGCCATGTCAATAATGCCATTGGTGGTGGTTTAAATTTGGGTAGGTGGTTCTCTGAGTGACTTAATGGACACAAAGCATTCATGTCCCCACAGAATGAGGCTCACTTCTGGAACTTCACGAGAGTCCACATAACAGAGAAAATCACTTGTCGTGTGGGAGAACCTTACTGAACACATACACATGTAGTAGAGATATTTAAGCATGCAGAGAGTTAGAGAGAGACACAGCAGGATTTGCACACACTCACACAAACACACACACACACTAACACAAACATACAGAGAGAGAGAGATGAAGAGACAGAGAAAGTGTAAGCAAGAGAGAAAGAAGAGGAAAGACAGAGAGAGAGAGACATAGAGTGATACAGATTATGAAACACACACACAGCTTGAGGGAGAGAGAGACACACATAAACATTAATGTAGAGATGAGATTGTGACAAGGCAATGGACATGCAGACAGTTATCTTCATTCTAAACAGACAAGCACAGCATTGGTGGAGGTAAATAAATAGATTGAAAGTGAGATGCTCTATGACAGAGCTAGAGAAACAGACAGAAAGACAGTCAGGTTGACACACAGACAGAAAGACAGGCATTCTGTGTGTCACAGAGATATACATAGATGAAAGAATCACAGTGACGCACAGACAGAGTCACAGAGAAAGAGAAAAAAGACACAGACAGACAGATGGACAGATGGACAGGCAGAGACTGATAGAGATACAAGTTGAGGGACACACAGAGAGATGCAGAGGAGAGAGTTTCTTCCTAATCTACTAAATCAATGCATGGAATTTCTTTCCTCTAGGAAGAGGGACTCATATCCTGTGTGTGGGCAGTCTCCTACTCAAGATCAATCATGTTGAGAGTTTCTTTCAATCTCTGCTGGGAATTTGCTATCACAAAGCAATAAAGTTATGATTTCCTTTTCACCTTTTTAAGAAACAAACTATCTGATTTCCTGACTTTGGTGTAACTAGAAGTGTTAGAAAAAATAATATCAGTCTCCCATAAGGCAATTTATAAATATAACAAAAGAAACCAAAGAAAGCAAATTCTTTCTGCATAGTGGGTATGATTTGACTGTAACCCAGCTACAACACACACACATGGAAATACTGTCTTCACACTTTGGTGCCTAGATCATCAGGGAGCTTGGTTGGGAATAACAACTTAATCTATGCCTCCAGTGTAATTTGGGAAGAGCTGTCAAAGGAGAACAGAAAGTGTCAGGCATAGGAGGACAAGTGAGGGGTGGCAAAAGCCCAGCCTTTCAACCTGTCTAGCATAGAGAATTCGTTTTAACACTGGTGGGGATGGAAGAATTATTTTACCAATCTCTAAAAACGGACCCACAGTTCAGGTGGGGAAAGTATGGATTCACAATAAGTCAATGTCCTTGTCCTTTTTGAAAACCCATAAAGTCTATAGCAAAGACTAGACTACCAAAAGACTCTGCCAGATGCAGTTGTCTTCCTCGCCTTTGGCATCTGCTCGTCCAAATCCAGGTGCCAAGAAAGAGTAGTGAGGCTTTGTGTGAATGGTGTGGCCATGAGGATGCTCACCAAACTCTCACAACCTGAGCAGTACTGGATGAATTAATACAGGCTTCTTCAGACAGAAACACCACAGAATCCACAAAATGCTTGTCAAATTTTTTATTCATTTTATTGTGTTTGGTTTACAGAAATGGATGCACCCAGAGAGACAAGAGGAGGACTTCATTCCTCTGGATCTCCAGTTAGAGAAGTTTGAGAAGTCTAACTCATTTGCTGACAGCTGAACTCGTGGAACTGGTCCTCTGCAGGAGCACCAAATGCTTTGGCCAACTGAGTCAATGGCCCAGTCCCCACACACTGGGTCTGGAGGGAAAAACTGTCTTCCTTCCTCTTCCTCGTCTCTTGTAAGCACACATTCATGTTTGTTTTCTGCTTTGGTCTAAATCCTTGATCACATGCTCTGTTCTGTCTGATCCAGACAGGTTCCTGCAAAGAAACCCTGTTGGGATATGCTTGGGGCCAACAATCACACTGAGTCCCCAGTATCCGACTCAATGTAGGGAAAGCAAACCAGTACAGCAGCTGGATAGGTTAGACCAGAATGTGGTGCTCTCCCTACCCAAAACTGCGATTCAATGCATTTCCAGGCCTCACTTGTCGGCAGCTGCAAGCAGAGCATCTGCCTCATTGTGGAGGTCCATTGCCTTCCCAGTGTAAACGAAGCCCATCATAGCCTTGAAGGCTTGTGGCTCCAAATCGTGGATCTGCACACCCTGCCTAATGGCATAGTCTTACCTTTCCTCCTACAATTCCCCTTTTAGTCTAAAGAAGGTATTTAAACTTAAAACATAACTTACTTTGTCAATAAACAAAATGTCTCAACCATCTAAGCCTAAGCTTATCTAAATGTAATACACAAGTCTGAACACCTCCTTGCAATCCCAATCTTTAAGTAATTGAAAACTAACCCAAACAGGTGTAAACTTTCTTGCAAATCAAAAGTAGGAGAGGGAGTTTGGAATTCTCAAAACTACTTCCTGCTGAGATGGGTCAATGACAATCTCATGGGAACATGTGAGAAGAAAATTGGTAGTGTATTAAACTCTTAAGTAGGTTAGACAGTCTCTGTTTGGCAGGAGATGCTTGATGAAGTTCCTGATTGGAGTTCTAGTGTTGATGGAAGCTCTCATCTGAAGCTCTGGCCAGATTGTAGAATGTGCACTGTACTAGTTTCTTGGTCTGGAGATATGTTGAGTTATGTAGTTCCTAGTCATTTTGAGGATGCTGTTTGTCTGGTGGTGTCAATGACGTGTGGCAATTCAGATACATCAAGTTGAATCAGGTGGAGTCGATGAAGTAGAGCCCCATTCTCTTTCTGAAGCAGTTGAAGATTGCTTTCAGGAAATCCCTTGTTCTTTGGAAAACTCAAACATTAATGTTAACAAATTAATTTTTAACTTTTATATGTATGAATGCTACAAAAATCTTCTAAACTATTCAAATGTTATATATACTGCACAAAACTAGTTAACTATTAACCTAAGATCCAATCTAGAAAATGGAATGATCTAACAGTCCTACTAGCCTTGACTGACTTCTGTGAAACTAGTGTTGAAATCTGCATTGAACATTTAAGAGATATCAAATTTGCAAACTCATAGAAGTGGTACCACATAAGAAACATAACCTAAAACTCTAAATCATGTCAATTACTGTGTCTCACAGGGTAAATAAAAAATAAATTCCAATTTTTCAGTGTGGATCCAGCTTGAACTGCAAACTACCTCCAGCAGAAATATCTGTGCACAGTAGGAGGCATATTGGCAGGTAACCACTAGCAGCCACAGCAAATCTGGAGTCTAACCAGAGCAGTAGCGATTTTGCATTTTGAACATGCATTGTTTTATATATTCTGTGTATGATGACTTGGGAAAGCAATTCTCATTGCCGAGGTGCTCGGGAAAAACACAGATGCCAACAACACATGCAGCACATGCACAGAAACAAGTGGTACAGGCAACAGCTGAACAGATGCAGCTTGCTCAAGAGATCTTCGTTAAGAATCATTCAGATTTTGAAGGTAAAGTTAAATAATTTATGGAAGTGACAGGAATAAATCACCATGAAAGCAGAGTGGCTCTAAAATACTGTGAGTGAGATGTGAAAAAAGCTGTCAATATGATGTGGAAAGGACATTTAGACACAGCACTGTGGGAGACTGTAGGGGGAAGAAGAAGAATTTCAGAAAAGAATGCTCAGGAAACAAACACAACAGAGAGAAGAGAACTCAAATAGAAACAAATCATGGACAGGGAAGCAACAACCAAAAAGGAAGAGGTTGTAGCAGAGGCATAGCAACCAAGGAAACAAGCCTTCAGAGTGAGGCAAGCAGGGACAAGTCAGAGGATTTGGACATGGCAGAGGCAGAGGGGCAGGAAGGTTCTTGAGTCAAAGGCACAAGGGACTGGCAGCACCACTTCTGCCAATGCCTATTGTCCTCAGAAACTCTCATCCATCCTGGGCTCTAGATTCAGAGAATCGGCCCCATCAAAGACGGTGAATATCTCCATCTCCCAGATTTTGAACAAGTCGAAAGCACCAAGTTTGAACATGTTTACTGTCACTTCAACTGCATAGCAGAACAGTACAATTCCCCAAGCCACTAATGTTTCCTCAGCATCCCAAGTCCTCAGGCCTCAATCATTTTGACTTCAAATAGCAGACTGAGTCATGCCCAGTTCTTACACAGTGGAGCCCGAGGCAGCAACACCAGATGCCCGCAGAAAGAGTTTTCCTTCCTGCTTTGGAGTCCTTTGCTTCCCAGGCCAAACACAGAAAGTCAACACCTGGAAATGACCCTTCTTCTGTGAACAGACTTTAGCTATTTCCCAACATGGCTGTTGAAAGCATTGTATCTGCCCACCATCCACAGCCCAAACACATCAAACTCCCTAAATGCCAGATACTTCCATCTTCTAAGGTTCCCGCTACAGCAGTAGAAATGATGGTTCTGCAGGTGTCACAGGGTTAAATGTTCAGTTTGGGGCTCTGGAATTTGGATCAGATCCATCTCTTTCTGATTTTGGATCAGCAGCATCAGCCAGTGAAAAAAAATAATCAGATGCCTATCAGAGAGTCTGGAAAACAGAACCTTCAACCAATGACTGATGGAAACAAAGGCAGACAATCACAGCTAAACACTGAGCAGAACTCACAGACTCCAGTGACAGATATGGAGGAATAATGAGTACAGATGTCAAGATTGGGCTCATTTAAGACACAGAAACAGCTGACCTGAGTAATGGGGAGTTCTTGAAGCCCAGACTAATGGCTGGGAATCCAGCATGGGACTGATCCAGATGTTCTGAATGTGGGTGTCAGTGAGGAAGCCTAGGCAGTCAATGGGGCCTTGGGTAGTAGATCAGTATTTATCTCTGGCATATAAATGGTCATTGGGTGCCCATCCCACAATGAGAGATGCTCTCTCAGCCTGGACTCTTGGGGGAGGGCTGAGGCCCTGTCCTGGATGAAATAACAGACTATGGACACCCCCATGGAGGGTTTCATCATCCCTGGGGAAAGGAGTTGGGATTGGGGAAGGGGTGGGGTGTTGTATGGAGGGAATGAGAGTAGGGAGGGAGAGTGAGAGAGAGCTGGAATTAACATGTGAAGAAATGTTGTTTCTACCATAAATTTAAAATAAAAAAGACAAAAAAGGTAGAGATCAGGAGAGATAATTACCAGCCTCTTAATGATCTTCAAAATCTATTAGACTATAACTGCAGACTATTGTTGGAATAGAAGAGCATGATTTAAAACACTAAAAATATCGCTAAAAGAGTCAAGGACTTAAATAGTCCACAAATATTATCAGCTGAGGATGAAAAATATTAGAGTGAGTAGAAAAGAGAATACTAGAAGCACATGTGGACTGTGTGGATCCAAAATAGACTTTATTCTGGTTGCTTTATCAACTAGAGAATACCCCTCAGGGATTTTGATGCAGAGGGAAGATATCATAATAGAATGGATAATTCTGCCACATAAACAGAATAAAAAACTAAAGATATATATAGAAAAGATCTATGATTTGGTTTTAAAAGGAAAATTAAAGCTTCATTAACTAACTGGCAGGGAGCCAACAGAAATTTTAGTACCATTTAGTAATGAGGAATTTCCTCCTTATGGAAGGATAGTGAATATTGGCAAAGGGCTTGCAGGACCTTTTTGGGAATGATTAATAACAATTTTCCCAAAGCAGAGAGTATCAAATTCATAAGGAAATTGGCTTGGATTCTTCCACGTACTGTAAGAAAATTGCCAGTCCTGGAGTCCCTACATTCTACAATGATGCAAACAAGTCAGGAGAAGCAGGTTATAAATTAGGAAATATAAGTAATGTAGTTCAAAGCATATAACTCTGTACAAAAGGCAGAGTTGTATGTCATTCTCATGGTACTTTTCAATTTTACAGAGCCTCTCAATATAGTTACTGACTATCAATATGCACAGAGTTGTTTTACAAATTGAGACCACTGAATTTAAAACTTCATTATTTATACAACTGCAAGAAACGATCAGAAATAAAACTCATCATATATATAATCACATATCAGATCCCTTACGGGTCTGCCAGGTCCTCGAGCACAAGGTAATGATGAGATTACTCATTTATTAATAGGAACTGTGCTAGAAGTTCAGAATATCATAACAAAAACTGCCATTTTGATAGCAAATCCTCAAAAAAGAATGTTTCTATCACTTGGCAAGAAGTCAAGGAAATAATAAAAAATGCCCTTCCTGTTCATACTATAATCAAACTCCACTACCAGCAGGCAGTAATCCCAAAGGTATTCAGAAATGAGTTTTGGCAAATGGATGTGTTTAACTTTCCAGAATGTGGAAGTTTTAAATATGTGGACCATACAATAGACACATTTTTGGGGTTTCTATGGAGCACTTTTATCAGCTCTGAAAAGGCTGACTCTGTTATCGCACAACTCTTAGTGCTGATGGCCACTATGGGTATACCTGCACAAATACTGACAATGTCCAGCATATATCTCCAGCTAAATGTAACAGTTTTTCAACTATTATAACATAAAGCACATAACTGGCATACCATACAAACCCACAAGACTATCAATGGTTGAGAGAACTAACCACACCTTAAAACAAATACTCCAAAAACAGGCAGGTGGAACAAAGACACAACAACACACATTAAATAATGCTTTATTAATACTAAACTTTCGTAATGCTAGTTGAAATAGCCAGAAGCTAGAAGCAATCTAGATGCCCCTCAAGGGAAGGGTGGATAGAGAAACTGTGGTACATTTACACAATGGAGTAATATTCAGCAGAAAAAAACAATGGAATATTGAAATTTACAGGCAAATGGATGGCACTAGAAGAAACCATACTGAGTGAGGTAGCCCAGTCACTAAAAGAGAAACTTGGTATGTACTCACTCATTTACAGATTTAAGACATGAATCAGGGGAGTGCCAGCCTACAATCCCACAGCCAGAGAGTCTAGGAAACAGAACTGTCATCCAGTGACTGATGAAAGCAGAGGCAGATACCCACAAACACTGAACTGAACTCCTGCAAGACAGTGTCAGAAAGAGAGAACTGATGGGAAAAGGAGTTAAGACTGGGCTGGTTTAACCCACAGAACAGTTGACATGAACAAGTGAGAGTTATTGGCCTCCAGATTGATGGCTGTGTGGAAAGTATGGGACTGACCCAGACCCCCTGAATGTGGGTGTCAGTGAGGAGTCCTGGGTAATCTATGGGGTCTTGGGTAGTATTTATCCCAGGCATATAAGTGGACTTTGAGTGCCCATGCCAAAATATGGGAGGCTCTCTCATCTGTGACTCTTGGGGTAAGGCCTAGGCCCTGCCCTGGATGAAATGACAGTTACTGGGGATCCAACATTGAGGGCCTCATCCTCCCTGGGGATCAGAGTGGAGATTGGGTAGGGGAATGGGGGATTTGGTGGGAAGGTTTGGGGAGGAGGGTGATGGGATTGACATGTGAAACAAGATTGTTTCTAACATAAATAAAAAAATAATTAAAAAAGAAAACCCATCCCCAAAAGGGAAGAAGACACTGAACGTGTAGATACCTACAAAAGAGAGAATGTCTAGCTAAAAGAACCATAAAGCACAGAAAAATCTGATATTCGGTACCAATGTCTAATTCTATTAACTTACACCACTATAAAATCTATTTTTCTTTACTTCCTAATACTCGTGGTCCCAATTCACTTAAACTAATGCTGACTTTGGTGTTGGATACGGGTCTACTCCTCTAAATCTGAGCATGTTGTTAAAATAAAATTCAGAGTTTTTGTATTATATCAAAAAGCCAATTGATATAAGACAGAAGAAAACAAAAATATT